GTACTGGGTCTAATAAATCCCTTTTCTGTTAAATCTTTCAACTGTGCCACCAATTCTTTCAGTTCAGATGGAGCTAAACGATATGGCGCCTTTGCTACAGGTGCAGCCCCTGGTACTAAATCGATTCGGAATTCAATAACTCTATCTGGTGGTAATCCAGATAAGTCTCCTGGAAAGACTTCTGGATATTCACTAACAATCGGAATTACTTCTTCTTTTCTCTTTTACATCCTTCGCATTTCTTCCGAATACTTTTCTGGGCTTTCATTACTGACAAAATACTGGTATGGTGATTCTGACGATCACCATAAATAACAACGGTTCTCTGATCTGGCATAACAATTCTGATCATTTTCTGATTACAAACAATACTAGCCTGATACTTTGCCAACCAATCCATACCCACTACTATATCAAATTCCTTCATCGGCATGGAAATAACCGGATCGAAAACTCAACCCTCAGTAACAATAATGCAGTTATTGAACACACTAGTAACAGTTTCTTGACTATTAGCAGTATCAACTACTAATTCGTCATCAAGTAACGCAGAATTCAAACATGCAGATTAAGCAAACGATGGTGATACAAATGAAAATTTTGCACCAGAATCAAACAACACTTTAGCACGTATAGAATTCAGAAGGAAAGTACCTGTTACTATATCTGGGGTTGCTTCTGCCTCGTTCTTTGTCATTTGAAACGTACTACCCCTTGTTCCACTCTGACCTCCCCTCGATGCACTAGGCCTTCCACGGTTACTGGGAGTATTTCCTCCCATTGTCAGACGAGGAGTTCTTAATTGTGGATAATTTGGTCGAATATGGTCAGGTGAATTGCATTGAAAACATCTTTTGGGTATAGTGCAGTCTCTTGACAAATGACCTGTCTCTCCACAACGATAACATCTTTTGGGTTCAGAAGGACAACTTCCCGGGTGTATCTGTTGACACTGCGGGCATGTTCTAACAGAAGGTAACTGAGGAACACTATTATTTGATTTAATAAATTTGGGTCTTTGAAAACTAACGGAAGATCCTTCCCACTTTCTTTTCTCAACAAATTTCTCTTCACCTTGCTGATTCTTATTTCTTTCAGTAACTTCGGCAGCATTAACGGCTAAAGAGAAAGTTTCAGGGTTCATAGCAATCACGAACTC